TCCTGAGAGGGCTGCCCAAACGTGATTTTTTCACATTCAAACACCTTACGGTACGTCTGGTAGGATATCTTCCGGTGTGATTCGTTATAACCACGCCACATGTCTGTGATGGTCAAGTGTGATTCCATATCTTCGATGTGGAGCGTGCTCCTGCTTGTAATGGCTTAATTGTGGATGGTACGAGTTTATACGTGCACTGATAGGTTCTGTGCAGATCTGGTTCGGCGCAGGAGCTCTCCCACGCCCGTCAGTCAGCAGACACACAGGCTCGTCTGCTGTAGTGGCTGTTGGATGTTTTCTGCTGGATGAAGGTCGTCACCAAACCATCGGTCTTCATTCCTAGCGTGTGCAAGAACATCGTCTTGGAAACTTGGTGGCTGTTCCATCACAACATGGTAGTGAGTACTCCAGTGTTCTCAACTCCTTTACTTTCTTTTCGGTCACTTCCTCTGACTCTTCAGACGTCTCATCGGTCTTTGTTCGGCGCCTCTTCACTGGCTTGATGGTGATATGGGAACTGAAGATTTGAAGAAGCCCCGTCTTTCATGGAACGGAGACTTCCAGAAGCGCTTTCTGATGTGTTCTCTGTCGGCTTCATTGAAGGCATCACCACAAGCCTTCTTGCAAGAACAAGGCGCAAGGAGTGCATGTTTTTTTTTAGCTGGCTGTCGTTGCTGTCCTCCACCTCCGAGTCGGATCCTTCGCGTTCCTCGTAATCTGATGCTGCAGCTGCCGAAGTACCCTGCTCAGGTTCACCTCCTGGGGGCGCGTCACATGGGACAGGTGCCAGACAGAATATGTCGGGGAAAAGATCCCCGGGCACAGCATTTTCGCCTTCGATTATTATTTCCTGGCAGTCCAGTGCGTCTCAAAGGCATGCCTGGTCTTCAATATCTTCCATGATAAAAACGTCTATTTCCAGGTGATTAGGATGCTGTAATAAAAAGATGGGATATTAAAATAATATTTTATTGTTATTATCAACTGATTAAGATGTGTCACAGTTTACGTCAGTGCGCATTGTTAATTGCCCCCCCCCCCAAAGTTATGCGCAGTGTGTGCTGCATCAGAAGTATGTATATATTACGGCCACTTAAAGAAGTTTGTAGGTACAACAAACTCAGTTATCATTAATAAGTTCACTATCAGATAGCTGGGGTGATTATTCAGGTAGGTATTGCAGTTATTCCCCTAAATAATGAAGAACACTTGGTCCAATCACCTTTGCATGGTCATGCTGATGTTAGAGTGAGTTTGCGAAATCGGTGGATCCGCGGATTTCCTAGGGAATCCGCGAAGTCCCTAGTGGCTCCGCGGATAAACGGGCGGGGATCCGCGGATGAACAAGACTCTTCAGGATAACCGCGAACTCCCTGAAGAGTTGACGAGATCCGCGAACCACCCGGGGAATCCGCGGAGTAACGATTCATTCTAGTGAGTTTGCGAAAGTCCTATGCGTTTCATGCAGCTATCTTATGACAAGAATCAAGAATGCAAGGGCATATTGTGACATATAAGTGCATGTATGGCCTAAACTTTTGAATTCATTTTAAAAGAGATCAAACGCAAAAATTACCCAACGTTTCGCATTTATTGCTTAGTCATGGGTGTTAGAGTGCGATTGTGACACTTTGAATGATAATCCTCATTCCTCAAGGGCATATTGGTTAGATCGTCTGCGACTTAACCCTCGCCCGTATTGTTGTTTTCCCAGTTGCTGTTGGAATTCGCGGAGTAGGTACCGATTCATTCTAGTGAGTTCGCGAATCATTCTTTCAGCTCGCTAGACGTCGCTCGCAATATCAATAGGTATGCAATTAAATAATAGACGGTAAGCCATTTTTGGCGTGGTTGAACTTTTGCGACTGCAGTCTGCTCACTTTTCTCCCAACCATGAATGGAAAGCTGGAAAGGCATCTGAGCGATCATGTGAATGTATGCAAGTGTGCATGAATAACAGTAATGCTCACTCTTCCTCAGGGGCGGAGCTTCCTGTACAGTTGGTGGGGCAGTTGCCCCCTCCCCCCAACTTGCCCTTTTGCCACAGCCGACCTGACCCGACCGGTCAGCACCGCGCCTACAGCCGCTCCAGCCCGGTGCCACAGTATATCTATTCTGGGGAACATTTGGACCGGAGGGGCAATGCTGAACTCCGATACGAGAACCCAACACGTACCTATCAACCCGCTCAAAAATATCAACTTTGAAATTTGAGCTGATTTGACCTGACCTTGACCTGACCTTCACCAGAGCATAACCTAAACTGGCCCCAAAGGCTGCCTTACCCACATAATCGCATTTGTCACGTAAAATGGACCATAAAACATGCATCACATGATATTTTCATATTGTTACCCTCTGTGACCTGACCTGGCATCAGTGACCTCAACTAGCAAAATATGTGTTTGAAGAACAATTTCCCATCATTGATTTTCAGTGACATGCATTTTACTCGATTTTACAAGCACAACACATTTCTTGAATGCCTGTAAACGGTGAAAGTTCGACATTTGACCTGACCTGTGACGTTATCGCTTTGACCTAGGTCAATGAAATTGGGTCACAAGGTAGTTCCCCGCTGGGGCTATCCAACACCGTTTGCGGCTTGTCGCTTTGTTACGTGGTTCTCGAGATCTTAGGGGGGAATGCCCCCTCCCCCCAACAGGGCGCGTTGCTCGGCAGACCCCAACGGGGCGCGGGTTAAGTCGCAGATGATCTACCCAATATCCCATGCATTCTAGTCTAGATAGCTGTATGAAACGCTTAGGAACCTCGCAAACTCACTAGAATGAATCGTTACTCCGCGGATTCCCCGGGTGGTTCGCGGATCTCGTCAACTCTTCAGGGAGTTCGCGGTTATCCTGAAGAGTCTTGTTCATCCGCGGATCCCCGCCCGTTTATCCGCGGATATACTAGACTTGATGTTCATCCGCGGAGCCACTAGGGACTTCGCGGATTCCCTAGGAAATCCGCGGATCCACAAATTTCGCAAACTCACTCTAACACTGACACTGTCCACAGGCCACATTAATGTTACGCTGGAAAGAAATAACCTAGTATGTCATAGACACCAAGTGTTAACCCTCGCCCGCACATGGAGGGGGGGGGGGGGTTACCACCCCCTCCCAGGTAGTCTTTCTGCTCTGCACTCAACATTTTTAGAGCTAGAAGGCTGATTTTTCGTATAGCTGCTCCTCTATTCTTTCTTGATGTCCACTGAAAATTTCAAGTTTCTGTGATTTTTGGTTTCGGAGATATGACCTTGTTTTTCAGGTCATGTCATGACCCAAATGGCCAATTATCAACATCTTGCGTTTGCCATGGGCCTTGTGAGCTTTTGACAACTTGATTTCGGCCTTTTTTGCCAGTCTTACCTCCCACCTGTCATGGAACATGTTGTTCGACGATGTACAGGTGCCAAGGTCAGGGTCAAGGTCAACCTAGGTCATCTAAAATAATCGCGTTTTAGGCAAGCTGAATTTACTTTTTGTGAAGTTTTTTAACTGCATTTTTGGTAAAAGCTTCTTAGATCATGATTTCATGTAATATGGACACAAAAACAATCGGCGCGCACACATCAGTATACACACAGACACACACAAACATATATAATTGACCTAACTTGACCTGAAATGACCTCAGCAGCAAAAATCTGGTCGGGTAGTGTGACAAAGAGGTTCTAGCTGGCTTGGCACCAGAAAACAGCTTCGTCATCGGTATATGATAAGCAGCGCACTTGATATCCAACGGTGACCCAAAACAGCAACATTTTTTAGTTTGACCTGACCTGGAAGGTCATTGACTGACCTGAGAAGGTAAAACTGGGTATCATTGGATTTGTCTCTTCCCAAAAAATCTTTTTGGTCTTTACCGCTAAGCTCTATCTCCAACAGGAACGAAATGGTGCGGGGGGAGGTGGCAACCCTCCCCCATGTGCGTTCTAGGATGGAAAAATGGCATGTGCGGGCGAGGGTTAATGTATATAAATGTGTATAATGATGATGGGATTTGGCAAGCTAAAACCTAGTAAGCAGCATATTTTCGCATAGTATGTTCTTCAGTGACAAAAAAATCAAAGTCGATGGAGTTACTAGCTTTTCACTAGCGAATATCTCCGTTTTAAGCCAAGGGACGTCAATTCTGATAGCACCGATCGATGCGGCGTACTAGAAAACCATAGGCTCAATGTCTAACTCAATTTTGTTTATTTTGGCGCTTACTAGGTTTTTGGAAAACACGGGAGACGTTTTTCCAAGACAATAAAGAAATGTTTTATTTAAAGGTAGACTGTCACCTTTTTTTCACTTGCCGGTTTTCGTAAGAGGTGCCCGCCCTCACCACAGATTTCCAGTCCATTTTCCCATATCCTCACCCTGTAACGCGGAATCGCCTCCCAAAGTCCCATTTGATGCCATCTTTTTCGCCGGTGAAAATGCTCATCACTAGGTTAATATCGCTAGCATGTATGACGCTTTTCATTACATTTTTGCATGGTAGAGATTCATTGTTATTTTTCTTGAATGTTGTGACGAATTTCGTAATACCAATATTAATTTCATCAGCAAAGACGTACATTTAGCAAATTAATGTCGAAGGTTTCCTAGTATACTAGCATGAAGGTGGGCCTATCTCTTAACATTGTGAAGGATTTCATGGAAAGGAAAAACTTTGTCGATTTTCATTTTGAGCATTTAATATAATTTTCAAGAAAAAACTCGTTAAAAGGGTTTTATTTACCTTTTCTTATTCAAACATATTCAAATCAAAGGCGATAAATTGTTAATCAGCAAATTTGTGGTACAAGACAATGCTTTTTTTACTTCAAGGGAAGTGGTAAAGGGAAGGCCTGCGGGCCAATCTCTTCCAACACTAGTGAAGGTGGGAAGGTGAAGGAAAATGGTATTTCGTGAGGGGTTTTGATTTTCTACCACATTCTGAATGCTTCCAGTTCTGTGTCAAACACGACGCGATAAAGTAGAAGACTTCTTTTTTTGGGACGCTATTTATCGGCTCACGTAATTTTACTGAAGTCTCACTTTTTTGCTCTTTGGATCACTGTTTGGATGTATTCTAACGAAAATGCTCTAAAGCTCACTGTATGACATTTCTCACCGAATGTTCCTCTCCAGCTCACTGTTTTGTTGAGTTTAGTTACTTCTTTTTACTAGCTTCTCACTTTTTCCTTTTATATTTCACTAAAAATATCCATGTGGTATATTTTTTAGTATACTTCTGGGATAACTGAGCAGCTGTGTAAAATATACTATAATGAGAGCTAAAAATCTGGCAGCAATTCGCGGGTTTTTCATTTTTCGCCGCAATTTGCGGCGGGTTTGTAGCGCGAGATTCTTCTGCACGCCGTGTAATGCGAGCAATGCGAGATGCGAGAGAGGAGAACCGCGGTCAAAGCAAGGTCAAGGTCAAAGTTAGAGTGGAGCAAGTTGAAGTGTACGGGTGCGAAGTTTAGATGAACTGTGGTCAGGAAGAGCTTTGTTGATTCGGTGCCCAGACAGCTGCAACATGAACCAGGACAGTGATTCTGGTGAAGATTTTGCTGACGAGGCCTCCTTTCGTGCGCCTACTCAACATGCGACGCCTTCGACTGTCTCAGCCTCGAGAAAACGCGGGAGGGGTCAAGTTTGGACCCAAGTGTGCTCACATGACAGTCGAGAGCACTTTCTTGACTGGTTCCAGACATATGGTAAGTAAATTGCCTTCCGAGGCCAGTTTTACCAACAGAAAAATAGCCACCTGCCAGAATTTTTTACTTAAAATCGCTTCACATCAGAGCATGAACGGTTAAGCCCTATCCGCTTACATGCACATGATGCACATCACGTTTACGCTCCGTATGTTAAGCGGGCTTAAGTAAAAAAAATTCTGGCAGGCGGCTATTTTTATGTTGTTTAAACTGGCCTCTGAACAATTTGATATCTTTTCAGTTTTTACCATCACTTTTGTGTGCATATTGTGTAAATGTCCGTCTGTCGGCAATAGCTAGAAGGGGGAGGGTATTAGTTGTCACACTAAGGTTTTCCAACCAAGGAAAAACATACCTAACTGAACCCTACCTAACCTTACCTACAACCTACAAACCTACAACTTACCCTACAAACCTACAATTTACCCTACAAAGTACAAAACAACCTTGGCTGGATCCAGCCACTCAGCCCCTGTCAGTTATCACTTTTCCTTGGTCTCCCTCCATTTCTTCAGGTTTGACTGCCAGTTGGAGCCAGCTGGCTCTACTTTTCATAAATTTCAGTGCATGGCTCATTTCAGTCTCTGATTTGTTTCAGGTGACAGTGCTGGAGCAAGGTGGTCAAAGAGAAGAAGTGACAATACTCAGAGTGGGCCAAAAGACTACTACTTCTGCAGCATGGCTGGGTGCAAGGCACAACTGCAAGTCTTGTACATGAACACCTCCTTCGACATCATTGTATCTCACAATGGTGAAGACCATGTGCATCATCAGCAAACACCAGCAAGAGGCCTTTCAAAGGAAGCAAAAAAGGTGAGTTATTGCTTGTTTTATATGAGTGTAAGCATTCACATGACTCACATGCTTCAGCTTGTTTTGCAACCGTGATGGGGAGTGAACTATATGCATGGCTTGCATGATATGTATGAGTGTGGATTTCATTTTCATAGCTATATGGGAGACTTGCTAAGAAAGACCAATTTGTTAATTAACCCATCATAGCAAAGTACACCCAGCAACTATTTCTATTCCTAGGACACCATATTATGTACAATAATTTGAGCTACTTTGCACCATTGCCCATATTGTGTGTGGTTGTTCATATAGGGAGTTGTAGTTAATTAGGTTAATGTTGGGTCAGATAAGTGGTGGTGGTGGGTCAGGTCAGGTGGTTGTGGACCAGCCCAAGCCACATATGTTGGTAGCTCAAGTCAGGTCAGGTGGTGGTTAGTTAGCTCAGCTGTTGGGTCATGTCAGGTGGTGAGTCAGGTCAGTTGGTAGTGGTAGGTCAATTCAAGTAGTGGTGGAGTCAGGCAGTGGTGGGTTAGAGCAGGTGCTCCTTGCTGCGAGCTGATCAGGTGTGGTGGGTCAAGTCAGGCAGTAGTGGTGCGTCGGTGAGATGGGGGTGGGTCGGGTCAGGTGTTGGTGGGTCATGTCAGGTGGTGGTCGGTCAGAACAGTAGGCGGTGTGGTGGGTCAGTTCGGGACTCGGGTGGTGGTGGGCCATGCCAGGTGGTGATAGGTCATGTTAGCTGGTGCTGGTTCAGGTCAGGTGGTGGTGGTAGGTCAAGTAAGGCAGGTAGTGATGTGTCAGCCATCAGGTCAGGTGGTGGTCGATTAGGTCAGGTCAGGTCAAGGCCAGGTTTTGGTGGGTCAGGGCAGGTGATGACTGATGGTGTTACAGATCAGGTGGTGAGGCAGGTCAGGTTGTGGTGGGTCAAGTCGGGCCTTGTCTTGTCCTAGCACCGCTGGCTGGAACAAAAAACGCCCCCCCCCCCCACACACACACACTAAGATCTCGGAAAGTTACCGACCTTTTTAATTCGAACCGCGTTTGTTAGCCCCACCGGCCACCGGGGGATACCCTCAGGCCCAATTTTATCAAGCTAGTTGCAACCGCTGATGCCACAGGTCAGGTCAAAGGTCGCATTTTTCACCGTCCGCGCACCGACGGGGGGGGGATATCCGCCCCCTGAGGTTTTTCGCAGATAGCGGGAAAAGCGCCGCGAAATTTGGTACGACTATTCTCTTATCAATTTTACACATGGTGTGCAAGTTTGAACCTCCTAACTTTTAAGGTCAGGTCACCAGGTCACTTTGAATGACCCAACCTCAAATCACTTTTTTGCAACTTTGTCACCGTGCCAGAGCTACAGTAGATGTCGGAGGCCTTTGAAAGTCGCAGAGTGTTTTAAGGTCATTAGTAGCTACAATTTGTATATCTCGGAATTTTGACAGCGATGACCTAAGGTCAGGTCATTTTCCCGACCTCCCCATTATAAGCCAATGGGGGAAAAATCAACTCCCTGTTTTTACCACTAAAACGGGTCGGAATGGTCCCATAAACCATACATGACTTCATATACGATCAACCTTCACTACCTTGAGGTCTGTTTTGCTGTTGGGCAGCTGTAAGGTCATGTGACGTCATCAAAGGTCACCAAATGTTTTTTACCAATAACTCCGTACAGGAACAAGATACAACCGCGCGGATGGTCTCATTGTGTTCAGCTTGTCAAGGCGCATCGAATGATATACATGATGACCTCGAGGTCACGTGACTTGAGATCAACCTTTGACCTTGACCTTTCGAGGTCAGCATATATATCATTCGATGCGGATTGACGAGAGGATCACGATGATGCCCTTAGTTTGTTCCCATCTTGACTAGTTCGAAAGTTATTCGAGAAAAATTATCTCCATATCTAGCGCCGCCATTTTTACTTTTGACCTCTGTGACGTCATCTTTGACCTAACATGAAAATGACCTAAGTAAAAATTGTAGACCTTTTCCGTGCGTATCCCATGCCGTTTACCGCTTGTCGCTATCTTGCTTCGTTCTCGAGATCTCGGGGGGGGGGGGGGCGGTCATCCCCCGTCGGTACGAAGGTGGCGCAGACCCCCGTCGGTGCGCGGGATAGGCCTTCTAAAGAATGCGCTATAACATCGAATAAAAGGCATGTTATCGAAACCCATGTATGGAGCGTTCTCGTCTAATACATGCGTTGCTAAATGAGGTCATAGATAGCAGGTCAGGTCACTAAGGGTCACAGTATAAACCCAACCATACTAGGGTTGTGTGATGTTTACGGTCAATTTTACAAGTCAAATTCAATGGTGTGGGCTGGGCGACCATTGGGGCCAGTTTGGGTTTGGGTTACGGACTGTGGAGGTCAGGTCATAAAGGTATAATTTCACACCTGCCAGCCACATCTGCCAGTACTTTGGGTTTGTAAAGAAAACGGCGGCGCGCTGTGCGACCTCTTAAAAATACTGAATGGTTCTGTCATTCATACTGTTTCCTGGACGTTCGGAACTCGAGTTATTGCATGAGGGAAACACTACTAAAAAAATTGTATATTTCGGAATTTTGATGTCGGTGACCTAAGGTCAGTTCAATGCTGCGACCTCCCAATGAGGATTATCAAACGGCCATTATATGTATGTCACATTACGACGGCCATTATATGTCACACCTCCCAATAAACCCAAGTCAATAGGAGAAATAACCCCATGACCCCTTGTGTGCCCCTGACGTCATCTCAGGTCATAAAACGTCCCCAACAGTTTTTTGACAATAGCTTTAGGTAGACCCTATCATTGTGATGGGTCGCGGGCCCGGCCGGCGGCCTGGGGCATCGCCCCAGCGAGAACGGGTACATGTGGGTTTCGCGGGGTGATGCGGGGCGGGGCGAGGTTTGTGAACGAACGGCGCTCTAGCTGTATTTGGTTCCCTAGTAATGCGCCGATTTATGAAAAGTTGTCAAAGTCGAAAGTCGGAAACCAAATTCGTCATAATTTTACTTTTGGTGACCTCCAATCTCCAACCAGTGCCCTAAATGATGACCTGATTGAAAAATGACTTGTATGATTCTGAAAGGTATTAGCTATCTATTGTTTTTCCCGCGTCTTTCTAGCCTTTTTACTTTCGGAGATAACCTGGTGTGGCCAAATACCACGCCCGCCTCCACACCCTCCCCATCCCCCCCCCCCCCCAACAAACCACCACCATTGCGAAGTTGGCTGAGAGACCCACCAGGGCACGAGTTAACTGACTGTTAATGTTTCAGGTTGTGGAAGAGCTGTACGAGGCTGGCGTCAAAAAACCACTGCAGCTCAACAGTGCTCTCCTCAACCGAGGCATCAGCGGCCACTCAATGAAACAGCTGAACAACTTCCTCACCAGACTGAAGACAAAAGTCCAAGGCCCAGCCACAATATCTTATTTGGAGCTTGAGGAATGGTGCAGTCAGCACTCTATCCAGCCAGAAGAAGATGATTGTGCCTACGTAGTGCACCATGACGTGTCTCCGACCTCGGGAGTGCATGTCATCATGTCAACGAAACGGCTGCTGGCGAATGCTGCGCAATCGGAGGTCGTGCACCTCGACGCCACCTACAAGTTGACGTGGAATGGGTTTCCCGTCATCATCGCTGGTGTATCGGACCAGGCTCGCCAGTTCTTCCCGGTGGTGTTTGGCGTCATGCAGGCCGAAACGTCGGAGGAGTACGGACTCCTACTGAACAAAATGAAAACTGCAGTGGAGGAAGTGAGCGGAAAGACCTTCGAGCCTCGCATCGTGGTCGCTGATTGCGCAGACGCCATCACGACGGCCATAAGCCAGGTCTTTCCAGAAGCAAAACGTGGCCACTGCTGGTTTCACGTAAAGAAGGCGGCGGAAACCCATCTGAGGAGGGAGTCGAAGGATATGCAGGCTATCTGCAAGGCAGATATAGCAAACTTACAGCTGTGCTGTCAAGACCAGTTTGACATGGCGGCCCAGCTCGCGCTGAACAAGTGGCGCCAGCTGTGGCCGGACTCGGGATTCCCGGCCTACTTCGAGGACCAGTATGTCGCTCGCTATGGCGGCTGGTTCGAGGGCTTCGACCTGAGAGCGCCCAGCACCAACAACGGCTTGGAGTCGTTGAACGGATCAATCAAGACCAACCACACCCTCCGAGAGCGCCTGCCGGTGGGACGCTTCGTCGTGGCCGCCCAGTCAATGATTCGTGACTGGTCCCGCGATCTGACCGGGCGCCGTCAGTTTCAAGACACTCCGATCGCTGATCTGGCAGTGATGACGAAGGCGCATCAGTATCTGCAACAAGAGAAGGTTGTGGTGCAAGTGGGCGAAGATTCATTCTTCGTTCGCTCTGGCGAGGAACTCACCCTGTCCAACGAGCAGGTGGACGCATACGTGCAGATGGTGGAGGGAAATCCCCAGTCATTTGACGAGTTCGTCGACCACCGGTTCAGCATGTGGCGCGTGCAGGACACGGGCAACAGAACAGAGGCAATGGCTATGTGGTGCACGTGCCCTGAAGGGCTAAAGAAGTTTGTGTGCAAGCACAGCCTTGCTATCGGGTCGCTGTTCGGGCTCATCGACTTCTCCGATGTGGCGCGCGCCATGCCAGTTGGCCGGAAGCGCAAACGAGGGCGGCCGACCTTGGCCCGTCCAGCCCTCGAGCATCAGTGACATCATAGCACAGATAGGTCAGTCAGATGCATGTTTTTGTTGGGATTGGAGAAATGTAGTTAGAAATGGGCTTTACGTTTTTGTTTCAAGTCGGGACTAGTAATATTTACATTATTGGCGTCTTAATGCGTCGATAAATGATTGCAGTTCGGTGTGTCTATTTATTCTTTCAGATACAGTGCACTGTTGATAAGCGTACATAATCAAACTCTTTTACTTTGTGGAGTTTCTGGCTGCCTAATTTCTGCCTCACTAGTCACTGGATTTCAGCTACAACTGAAATTGTTGCCGCACGCAGATCCGCAGCTGCTGTCTGGCTCGGCTAACACGCTCTAGAAGCGAAATACTCATTACATTTACGGTTACCTGACTTCGGCTGACATTGCATATGTGTTGTGACAACCGGTTGCGCGTGTTGTTTGCAGGACGAGCCGGAGTTATCTCCTGCCCGGGTCTGGTGCGGCACATGGCCGCCCAGGTGGCGCATGGGCGCTGCATCCCGATGGAGGTCAGAATCACAGCGCCCAACGCGTAGCTAGACCATGCACCGACTGCCTCTACAGGAGGCGGTGTACGAAGCTACAGCGCCGACTGATGGACATGTCGTCAGTCGTGGGATTTATTTTCATCCGTGATGGGTGAAACCTGTCATAGGCAAGTCAACTCATGCAAGGCTGCTGGGAAAGGCGTACGCGCAGTTGGTTGCTCTGCCTGGGGCCAATTTCACTGAATTGTCAGGGATCAAATTGCGGCTGTTGCGCGAGTTGTCTTGAAACCGCTCACAATCGATTACGATTGCATTCAATATGGACGTACCTGGGATTGTATGTATATAGACCTGCTGCTATGCTCTGTACTAGTTAAGAACGCCACGTCCGAGCTGTTTTTTGTTTTTGTTTTCTTAAGCAACGCCATGCCTGACGCTGCGTCGCTGATTGTCGAGCTTTTGTCGAGCTTACTGAACCAATGGGCGCTCTGAACGTGCGGATCTCAGCCACTCGCTTGCCATCTCAGCACTTTATTCCGCGTTGGTTAGATCGCAGTTTGGCTTAGTGAAAGCTGATTGCACTACCACTGTGTGAGTATTTGGTAGGTTATACGCTTTGTGAAAGTTGTGCCATATCTCGACTGTTTTAGCCGCCGTGGCAGGCTCTGCAGCGAGGGAAGCGCCACGCCGTATCGCGCTGTAACCACTGCTGCCGCCCGGCCTGCATCTGGGTTTCGGGGGTCGCCGCCCCTCCCTGCGTCCGATGTCTTGTTTGTGCTAATAAGTGAGTGCGACAGGGAGAGGCGGAAGTGTGCCCCCCCTCCATCCCCTAACTGGATGCGGCGGTCGTCCCGCGTAGGATATCGGGATGATGATCAGGGGATCGGTCCGTTAGATTTGCGACCCAGTCTTATCTCACTCAGGAACGTATGTGCTGTGTTGAAGCCAAGAGGTGTTACAAAACACTGGTGCATTATTATAGCCAAGAGGATACAAACAGTGTTTGAATACATTTGTTTATTGGTTGTACTGTTTGTGCATGATTAGGTACACTTACAGCATGCAGATTGAGCATGCCCTCCGCACTATTTTTCCTTCATTTGAGTCGGGAGTGAGATTGCTTTTGATAAGCATGCAGTAGTGAGACGGCAGACGAATATTTCATACGCTGCGGCTGCATAGTCGATTGATTTTTCGGTGACTCCGATTCAGACTCTGGCTTTCAAAAACCAACTCCGATTCCAACTCCGAACAGAACTATCGACTCCGACGGACTAACTCCGACTCTCGATTCCGCAGTCCGCAGCCCTGCCAGGTCTGCGGAGTCGATGGATTTTTTTCGGTGTCTCCGGCTCGGGTTTCCATAATCGACTCCGACTCCGCTGTCCTGCTTGAAACTACTGAAGAACTCTTCACAGTTTCGGTGATAAGTGAGTAAATTCGCCAGGGAAACGATGTATTCGGTGAGAAATAAGTAAATTCAGTGAACTAGTGAGCAACTAGATCTGGCAGCACTACCAGATTAATATTAGGTGAGGTTGTAGCAAAAACAGTGAGATAGTGAGGAAATCCGGTGAAGCACTTATTCCAGTGAGGTAAAAAGATAAATCAGTGAGGCCGTGAGCAATTTCGGTGAGCTGAAGAAATATACCCCCTTTTTTGTGTATGAAATTGTTGTATCTGACAAGATTCTTATAGATAGTATCTCAATCTGACACGTAAATGTGATGTTACTGGATTGGCGGTACTGAGATTAAACTAGTTCTCATTTGCTCGGTCCGTGTGGACTATTATTTATTGGTTTTCATGGTGGTGAATTGATATTTAACAGTGCTTGAACCTATTAAGTACCAAAGTAAGGGTACTCGCTGGTATTTGGCTTTAAATATTTTATTATATTTATTTATTATAAATATAAAATAATAAATATATTATATTATAAATATAAATATATTTATAAATAAATTATAAATATATTAAATTATATTTATTTATTATATTTTAAGATATAGATAACATAACTCATTAAAACAGGCAATTCCAAAAGCGTAAACACGACATACATTACCAAACATTGTATATTTCAATTGTAACATGCGCGCCGTTTATGGCGACAAAACCCGCTTCCATATCTTATGACCTTGAAGTCTAGTGATGTGTCAACATTGTCGCTAGACATTATCCGATTGAAAATTTATGATAATCGATAATTTTTTACGCGATTCACGTGATGATAGCCTGCCAGGTGAATTCTAAAATTTCGTTTTATCCAGGGAAAAAAATGATGGGCCGATCTGAGAAAACTTTTTGAAGGTGGCAGTCTTCCTTTAATGATCGTAAAAACATCTCTTTGCTTTCTTTTCAAACGGTAATAAAGCATCGAAAAATAATCATTCACGTAAACAATTTAAATATTAACATTGCAATTTAGGGAAATAACAATTATTGATATGAAATAGTACCAAAAACTACGAAGCATCAATCCTTTATGTCATCAGTGACGTCATCATCGTTCCAAGGGCCACCATTGACGTCGTCATTGTTCAGAACTGGGCTGCCATATGCAATATGCATGGTTATATTTCACCAACCTTGATTGTTTACCTCCGCGAGCTGCATATTTACGTCTGGACAGCGAGTTGCGTTGGAGAGGCCGGAAATAGTGGCGATTTTTGGACCGCAAGAATGGACCGTCATTGGAATGATTCTTTTTGAAATTGTGCACTGTTTTTAGCCGGAATTTAATGGTTACTACAAAATATTTTTGTGATTACATTTTGGCCAAGGATGAATGCAATCAGGGAAGTTTTAACTACCATTGCATTTTGTCCAGAAACATATAGTGCTGTTATATTGCAGTTTTTGCGCTTTTGTTACAAAACATGAAGCGAACATGCAGAAACGATAATTGCTCTTGTCCATTCACTAAGAAGTTATTAGATATTATGCTCTGTGTATTCCAAGAGGAGAGGGAACTATTTTCTTTGTGCCTTCATGTCAGAATTGAAGATCGATCATTCAATTTTCAAGGCAGTTAATCAACCAAACCAATCATCTAGTCTTTCTTATATATCAGCAGTGGCTAAGAAGAAAAGGTTGATAAATACTGAAGTTCAGTCATCTTACTTCAACTTGGCAGCAAGATCCCCAAGAACAGAGGATATATAGTATACCTATCCTGTACATTAAAGCATTTTGGTGCCTACAAAGGCTTGAGTTATTTGTTGTGTGCTCGGAGTGAGGCTATGGGTGTTTGTGTTGTGTTTATGCGTAGATTGAATATAACTTTGACCCTGTGTTTGTTTGTGTATTTACTACAGTCAAACAGCACATTCACATAAAATACTCACCTAGCTCACAGCTGTACCCCACAGAATTTGTACTTGTTGATGTCTCGAGCATGAACAAAGCACTGAAGTAGCTTAATTATCATTTCCCACATTTTCTGAGCATCTAACATGGCAGTACAGCAGTGCAGAGCAGCTTCAGAGAACAAACACTTTCAATGCACAGACTCACACCAGCCACCCAATGAGCCAGTTCCTCATTTGGCTGTTTCCCTGGATGCGGCTCGGCCAGGCTCAGCAAAGGTGAGCTAACTTGGCAACGGCTCAAGGTGAGCTAACTGTTATTAAGTTGAAGGTTAGCAGGTAAGATTGGGTTAGGGTGAGTATCTACCTACAACTGGATGCTACTGCTATGCAGTATGCAGGTCTTGGGTAGGTAGGTTGCAAATATGTGTGATGATTGAGGTTAGTCGGGTATGGTCAGGTGACTTTTTTATGGACACTTCGCAAATTAAAAAAAAACTAGCATAACATAATCTAAGCTAACCCAATGTAAACCTACACAACTACTAACTATAGGTACTAAGCAGTAAGCAACTACCTTGACCTACTTGTGCCTTAGTGCCTACATCTCATACCAAGTCAAAATGAAGTTCCTTGCTGGAAGATCACCCTCTGGTACATTTTATCCCAGCCCTGTGAAGAAAACTAATACCTCTAAGTCCTGAGTCACTTCTGGCCATCCACAGAAAGAAGCGCTTAGAGCTTTGCTGTTGTATATTGGACCAAAATTCACCATCACGTATGACTATGAACACATCATATGATCACATCGTTGCATGGCTTGTCACATTGACAATTTTACTTAAATCCTTTTTTTCAAGAAATGCAAGCTTCATTTGCCACACACTGAGTAATGCGCATTACCATCTGCATATTACCATCTGCATAGCAAAGTAAAGCTGCCCGAGTTTGTTCACTCTAGATTTTTTCACTTCATAGTTAGCACTAACTAATCTTGCTGTTACAAGTTATTATTCAATGTTCATCCCAATATATCAATAGACAATATCTATGCAATCATGCAAACATTTTCTGGCAATTGATACTGCCCAGCGTGCTCTTCAGTATATTGAGCTCCTGCAATATTAGGTATAGCTTGTTTTCGGCCAATAAGCTCTTTTAATTTTACTTTTTCTTGCTGATAAGTTGAAGCAAGCCAGATCAACTTGCGTTTAGCAACCAACATTTCCTAACTTCAACTTGATCAATTGCTCAGGACTCAGGAGTCAGGACCTCTCAGCCTCCTAGATAGATACTTGGGATTGTTTTCAGTCAACATGCTTCTTTAATATGATATAAGTCAATCAGAAGAGATTCAAAACATCCAACAAAACGACGTACACGAGTACGAAAACCACCAGATGAACCTGAAAAAAGGCCTTGGAACAGAGCCAAGTCAAAGTGATGTGCTACATTTGTTTGTTTACAATAATTGTAGTGCTGATGTATTGCTTTAGGACTCTAACGGTCGGCTTATAAAAATTGAAACATTTTCACAAAATCTGTAAGGCGAGTAATATTTATCTGAAAGAACTAAAATATTCAAAAGCCAAACACTATGGAATACAGGAATCGGAACGAAAAAGTAACCCAAAAATCCAGCCTAATCACCGGTTCCTAAAACTACGACAAAATCAGCACTTTTCCCCGCAACTCGTTGTCCAGACGTAAATATGCCCGCGAGCTATTGGTGACGCCCGGCCCACCGTTACCGTCTACCGATACTTCTACCTGTTTCGGTGGTAGCTGACAGCGTGTTCTGGGCAGCTGTCTGAAATGTCTGGATGCATCTTCGCTCTTGCGATATCAGATTCAGATGGCAGCCAACTAGGCAGGAGGCGTGTTAATAGATATACCTGTTGTGATGCGCATGTTGTCTATCATCACTCGATGCGTTGTCTGATAATGTTGGAATCTTTCTGATTGACCGATGGTCCGCAAATTAGAGGTGGCAAAAGGTGAAAATTTTGGGAACCAGACTCGAACCAGACCCAACTGGATATTTCTGGAACCAGCCGGACCCGGTCCAAGTTGGAATCGGAACCAGTTGGACCCGTTCCCCAAAAGTCAATTAATACAAACTATTCGTAGGTAGGTAGCATTAACTGCATCATGTAAAACAGCCTTTTTTCCACTGGAAATACTCATAAGGTACAGTGTGCAAAAAAAAACTTACATGAGCAAATGTTTTCTTTCCATTCAATTCATATATTTTGCAATCATTTGTAGTGTGCAATATGCATGATTGGCATGATGTATGGTAGGACCCGTTGGACCCGTCAGAAAAATTGCAGGAACCGGGCTGGACCTGGTTCTTTGGACCGGGTCCTCGGGTCCACATTTTGCCACCTCTACCGCAAATACTCTCCTGGCCTGGCTCTTTTGATTTGACATCAAAAGCTGGGCGGATCGGATCACCATTGTCCATTTTTAGACTAGCAGTAGCAAAAAAGAACCCCTTGCAGCCCTGTATCCATTCGGCCAGCCACTGGCAGGTGTCACTGCAGCGACCTGCTCTACTGGTTCTTCGCTTCACACTTTCGTCTTGCCACGTTTTTTTCGCAAACGGCGCTACCACAATGCCCGTGCTTGCCAGCTCATATTTGTGACGTTTTTGCTTAGATCATGCCTCAATTTCTCAAGGACGTTCGAAACTCCTTTTTTCCGGTACTGCTGGCGCTGCTCCTTTCGGGCGGATGGTGAAATATCAATAGCCGATGATCATTTCCTGCTCGTAAAACTGGCCTCTGACTTAAAAAGTTGGTTAATTACTTTTAATGTTTTTATTTTACACTTTCAAACCACGATTACCGAGTGCCGTTATGTGGCCCATGCCGAGCTAGACGGGCGTTGGTCACTCAGGTCGGGTCACCCAGTAGGGCGTGGAAATTTAGAGCCCATCGATACGTGGGTTAAAGATGGACCTGAAACACCCCTGTCTAGAATTCTAGATATGGCAGCTGTGGTCATCATACTGCCCCAATACGGGCTCAGAAGTCAACTTCAATATGTGAGCAGTGAGGTCAGGGTCATGACCTGACCAAAATAGTTATGATGCATGGATGTGGAGCTGTATTTTTCATTTAAACACATCCAAAATGCCTCGTAGATCTGACATGTCTAGTTGTAAAAATTTGTTGAGAAAACGTTGCTGAACCTCTATGACATAAAATGGTATCAGTGGCCAGAGTCCAGACTCCAGAGTCTGAGTCGGAGCCAGTCGGAGTCGACAGTTCTGGCCGAAGTCGAAGTCGGAGTCGATTTTGGAATAAAAAAGCCGGACTCGGAATCACCGAAAATCCCTAGACTCCGTAGACCTGGCAGTGCTGTGGAGTCGCAGTCGGAGTTGGAGTCGGTCGAAGTCGACAGTTCTGTCCGGAGTCCGAGTCGGAGCTCGTTTTTGAAAGCTGGAGTCGGAGTCACCAAAAATCCATCGACTCCGCAGCACTGCTCAGTGGTACGTGTACATACATGCTTCATAAAGGAGCCTCTGTGCGACTAAATAATGTCACAATTTCGCAACGCTCTCAGTGCTACAAAATTTAGCTCATTTTGCCCCACCAATAAGCGGTTTGCCCCCCCCCCTCCAACGTGTTGCTTTGCAAAGCAATTTTCTTCGCATTGAGGAGCTTTGGCATGCATATGCCTTATATCCGTTATGACAGGACTTGATTCAGAATCGCATTTTACTCAATGGGACATTGTAGGTGTGACCGGTTTGACGACTTTTTGTCCCACCAACTTATCTGGAAAAGCTCCACCCATGTCCCCATTGTAGCAAACTGAAAGGTTCGGCAAGGGTTAACATCATTGGGAGGGCCTATGCTAGTGCGTTATGTCTGGCCCTGCTAGATTGATATTAGTTGTTTTCACGACGGCTGTCTGGTGTACATTTGGTTCACATTTGGTGCAGATTTGGTCATATTAGGTTCGTTGTGCTTCTTAGAAGTTATCGCTTTGGGTTGCACAGCTGCTCATATGCCTGATTTTTCTAACTGTGAGAAATTATTTTCGATTAAAACACTGAAATAAATTCATAATATGAAGATATTTGTTGAAAAAGAGAATTCATGTAGACTTCGTCAAGTATGGTGCATTCGCCAGATAACCCGTGTCCCATCGTGAATACGGCTTTTATTGCTGATCTGAAACGTCTGAAAGGGTTATAACAGGCCCGCAGCGGCCTACAGTGCATTGCAAGATCATTCACCTTCGCCTTGCCTATTGCCTTCGTTGAGATAGGCAAGACCACAGGGTTGATGTCCGGGCTAGGTATTAGGTGTAAATGTTGGTTTTATAGCCTTGTTAATCTTTTCTTCTCATGTAGGCATGATTTACGGGCGTTTCTATTGATATCCATCATGCGTAAAGAGTCAGAAACGTTCCTTGAGTCAAAGACATTTTCAGTTTACCAGATGCCCCATTTGAATTTGATTGTGGTGGTTTGAACAACCTTAAAACACATTGCTGATGTATGTGCGTTTTTAGGCATACCGTAGGTATATCGGATACCCTCATGTCCTTTCTAGGCTGGCCGTCCTACTATTGAGCCACAATGCTTACGAGTAACGAATCTTACCAACATCATGCATCTCCCGTGCCCAAACCATCGCGGCAGCATTCAAGTACCAGGTGTCCGAAGCGTCACCCTTGATCAATCAGCAAAAAGCACTGCAACCAGCGCTATTATCGATAGGTTCGGTTGTTAAGCAGCTGATCGGGCGATATCAGAGGGCCAGCGGAGAAAAATGGCGACTCAGAGCGGCGTGCCATTTCAAGCTCTGTGATTGGTTTGATCTGATTGCAAAATCGTGCACGCCGAATCCGAGCCGGGGCCGGATTTTGTCCGTTGGCGTGCGAGGTGTCTCATTTCACCTACAAACCTCCCGCGGCCGACCAAAAAACGTCCGACATGCCTGTCAGCCTCTGCACAACACTGGCCCGTCCGCGCGCACACACACATGGTGCGTCTGCTTTCCTGTGCTCGCCGCTAATCCAAGGTCTGCCATATTCTCCGGGCCCGATTAAATCATCAGCGCTCGATCGGGCCGCGGATGGTCCTAATCCGCATCGTTGACGGCGGCTCGCTTGAAGTAGGAGCGACGGTCGCCGTCGGGCCGATCGGCGCTCCAGCGGCCGCTTATCCGGGTCGGCATGGCTCGCACCGCTGCTGGCCATTCCTGCAACAGGACCTGTTCGCGGCACGTCCAAAAATCTGTCCAATTAGGCGCTGCTGCAGCGGCGGCGGCTAACAAGCCAGCTCGGCGGCCGGACCGTTTTGGTACCGATCGGCTATCGGTTGGTGAACGACTGAGATACGAACGGAGTGATGTTGAGGCGATATAGATTCATATGCTAAGGATCTATCATCTAGGTAGCTATTTTCTATTCACAATACCTATTCCGAACTAGGCCACGGGAAGTGTCACCGAGTGTCCGCCGCCCGCCCCCCGCAGGTCGCTCTCTCCCAGGAAGCACCCAGATTACGAACAGGGCGAGAGCCGGGCGCACATTATGGGCCTGGCCGTGCATTGAGGCGAGGTCATAACGAGCGCCTCAATAGGCCGTCGCGTCCGTTACGTGTCGCCCTGTGACGGCGCGGGAGCGCAGACCAGCGTAAATCAGCCCCGCCGGCGGCCGACTGGCGACCGACGACGGCCAGCGCACCGCCTGGCGGCCAGTCGGCGAACTAACGCCGAAGCCCGGCCCCCGCGTGCCAGAACGAATGGCCTGAGCTCGCCCGTAACTCGCAGTGGAGAGGGATTGGCCGGGCATTTTCATATACAGATCGTAAATTTAGCTCGTAGGGTTAACATGTCTTATGGCACTTGCCGGTGTCACACTACAGTAATATTGAAAACGGTCCGGTCGAGAACAAGTGCGTGAGCGCGATCGACGGAGAAGCGTGTGCACGAGTGGTGGAAGTGATTTACAGCGAAAACTCGGCTTCGTCCTTTGGATATTTATGGATTTTTGACACAAAAGTGCCGCCGGTAAGAGACAGGTATTCGCCCCGTTCCCCTGGCATTCAGCGTTGAAATTTACGACTTTCCTAAACAATACGGCGCCCGCCGGAAATTTTTGAAGCCCTCTGACGCTCGTGGCCGACGACGTGTGTCGGTCAAATTTATTGGACTATTACGGCGTGTTGAGCACGCTTCTGGTGTCCTCTTCTGCGGCTCATTAGGACACCCGGTCCAAGGGTTACGGCCGAGCTGAGAGTGCGAACAGAGCCATCCGAAGACGATTTACGAGCCCGGCCGTCACTGAACGGCGACCGCTCGCATTCCGCGCTCTCCGATACTGTCGCATCGCGGCGCGACGCGGCAAACGACAACAAACAGCTGCGCGTCGGCAGCGGCCCAGGCCGGTGACGGTGCGCCCGTGCGACGGGCACAGAGAGCCGGCAGGAGCCGGTCGGCCGGTTGGCCGCGTCAGTCGGCAAACCCGCTCCCGACCGCGGCGCGCGCGGCAAGGCGCTGCGCCGCGCGCTAGACGACGCGTCGACCACATCCGAGTGCTCTCTCCCTGTGTGTGACTCGGCCGAGTCTCTGTGACTCGGCAGTGACTCGGGTGAGTTTAGTGAGCCAGTGAGACCGGCGTCGGCCGCAGACGCCACGCCATGAGTTCCTACCAGTTTGTCCAGGACAGTTTGTCCAACTGGGCCGTGCAGCGCGGTCAGGACGGCAGTCAGGTGTCGGGTGGAGACTACTACAACCAGAGTTACGGCGGCTCCGGCTGCTACCTCCAGCAGCAGCAGCAGCAACAACAGCAGCAGCAGCACTCGCAGCTGTACGGCTACGGCGCCACCCAGCAGCCGCAGCCGCAGCCGCAGCCGCCGCAGCCGCCGCCGCAGCAGACTCCCCAACCTCAGCCGCAGCAGCCCACCATGCCCAGTGGCGACTTCCGAATGCTGCACCCGGCCAGCTCGCCCGCCCTGCCGACCAAGACGAAGCCGGTGGCGTCGGCGTCCCAGGCGTCGGCCACCTCCACGTCGGCCGTCTCGGCAACCGCCACCACCTCCTGCAAGTTCGAGCCGGGTGTGGGCTCGCCGCAGGACCTCTCCACATCGTCGACGCCGAACCCGCCGGCGGCGTCTCAGCAGTCACCGCGGTCGACGGCGAGCACGAGCAGCTCGGGCAGCAGCGGCGAACAGGCGGCCTCCAGCACGGCCAGCACGGCCGCCGCCGCCACAGGATCGGCCAACAATAACAACGACAAGGAGACAAAACCGGAGCTAACGCGACAAGTGTACCCGTGGATGAAGCGAGTTCACATCGGTCAAAGTGAGTACTCGAGCCGCGCCGGCCGGCAGGCGCGGCGGCACGCTCGCAGCCTAAACCTTCTCACCCATGTGTATAATAATTCACGGTGAAGAAAAATACACCGAATCCATCTCAGGTCTGGCCTCGAGGCTTGTCACACTTGAGGCGAGCGTAAGGGCCGATCAGAAACAAACATTTATACCTCTGTTCGCACACACGGGCACGCGCTGCGCGGCAGCCGCCTTCGAGCGCGTCCCGAGCGAGACCCGCGCCGCGCCCGGTTTTGCCGATCGTCCCAGCGGCGACCCCGATCGGGCGGCCGGCGGGCCTTTTTACCGAGCTGCAACGTCCGAAATAAGCCATTTATCGCGACCAGCGTGACGCGTGTGTCCGGATGCTGACCTGGCCGCGCGCGGCCCGGCCCCGGCCCGACAGCCACCCATACGTCTTCTTTTTTCGCTGATTCTCTGAGTCGCGGACGTCGCGTCGAGGGGTGCCGCCGCCGCCCGGCGCGGCCGCCCCGCAGGGTGTCTCTGAACTCTGAGCAGAGTCGTCTGCAGGCTGAAAATCCACCCCGAAACAGCCCGGTAGCCGTGCTGATAAAATAGAGCGTATCAAACAGTCAGTGTGGCATCTGGGAAAAATAGAGCACGACGAATTAGCTAACTACAGGATGAAGTAGAATAAAGCATAAAAGAATAATTCAAGTTTCCAAATTACTGACTCCAACTCGATTACAAGACAAAAAGTGTTCGTTCCAATTATCCACTCATCACAGCCGTTAACTGTTTCCTTTCCCTTTCGCGATACCCAAATTACACCTGAGATCACACCAGGCCCGTGTAAATCACCGCGGCGCGGGCCGACGGGACCGAAACACGTCTCCGTACAGGCCGCCGTGGTTGTCTCACACGGCCTCTCAGAGGCAGTAACAATCATCACAGGGGCCGCGAGAGCGCGAGCCGACGCCGCGGGCCGGTGGCAATCGGCCCAGATTGCTTTATTGCCGGTCGGCCCGGCCGCGGCGGGAGAGGTTAGCCGGCTGTTTACCTAATGCAGCCGCCGGGGAGGGTGGTCGGGGCCGCGGGACGCACGGGGGACCCGGGCCCGAGAGCTGACTCTCATCGGTAGTCAGCGCCGCCACCGCCGCGAGCGGAATGAAAACCGCGAGAATTAGCAAGAAACTGCGATTGGACAGACATTTGATCTCAGACAGACGTGCCGGGGGCGGCCGAGGCGCCAGGTCTAAATAAAAACCACCCCATGCTGGCAGGATGGGGGACAGACCAGGGAATGCATCAGGTCTCCCTCGGCGGGATATTAGACACTCATGCTCTCCCTAAAACAGTGTCTCTGAGAGCACATTTTGTTGTCTCCGTTGCTGGGGAGGAGACAGAGCACTGTGACGGCAGAAAACTGAGCACCCGTCGCGGAGTGTCGCAACAGAGACAGTCGCGGCGTGCGCCACTTAGTTTTCATCAGCGCTACAAATGCCGCCTAGACTCGCAGTACTGTATTCGGAACTATCGGCCCGTATCGCCGGCTAATACATTTGTCAGGGTTACTGTAGCCACTTCATTGGTGCTTATCGCCTGCAAAACCCAGAGAAATGCGGCTTGGGTGGACGCAGCGCTCTTGAAACGGCCGCAGCGGTGCATCTTTTGTCTAGTCGACGTCTAACGCTGGTCGCAGAAACATGCTGTATGTAGTGGAGGAAGTTCAAATATGGTTCCTTATTATACTCTCTGTTACTCCCGAGGCTAATGGTTGTAATGCACACAAACTCTGGGAGTAGCGAGATGCACAATGCACATCATAAGGTAGTGTTGTACCAGTTAGCTTTATATGCTGTTTAATTAAGACATGATTTCCTTCTCGCCCGCACATCTGCCGACAGTCAGTTAAACACATACATATACACAGAACACACACCTAAGCAACCGATTACATGAGAGTTTTCACAAAATATCTCAAAATAGTAAAAATTTATGCCAAACATATGTTATAAACCTTTTGTAGCTGATTGCTCTGTGTATATTCAATGGAAGTTAAAGTGTCTTCAAATGCTGATGGTTATCGCGACTTATCTATTTTGCAATCCATTTATTATTTACATATTTGGTTCTAAATTTTTACATGATTAAGTTGAAAGATAGCTAAACGTTACCCACAATAAACAAAGTTAGTTGAAATGGCTAACCTACCTGCAACAAGTTACAAGTTTTGCAGCTTTTAGGCACAACACATTCTGGTCGAGTTCGCTTAACATGCAATTAGTTAACTTATTTTTGAACTAAGGTTAAAATGTGCAGTTGGTTCTAAAAAAAACATTTCGCGGAGTCGCATATTGGTAGATCTTATTTACAGTTATGCAATTATAATACCTTTTTTCTCGATCGTGCCTACTGAGCTACAATCATGAAAAAATAAATCCACAACATGCATAATTTAAGGAATGAAAATCGTAAAAGTATATCTACAAAGCACATATTTATTTGGATTTGTCTTCGTTTGCTCTCATTTAATTTTGTGGCTACCATGCATAAAATCAAGTCGTTGTGCAGTGGTGATGCAAAATCCACAATGTCATAGTCTACACTGCACTGGTGCAAACTGATGGTAAAAGAACTAATGTGTCCCAACCTTCGCTTGCTTGGCTTATCCGTAGCTAAAGGAACAATCCAATGCGCCTCGAGAATGACATTTTTTCAATAGCGTACACATCTCTCACATCCGTAAATATGGTCACAGCCAAGGAGCTGTTGCCTGTTATCAGATGTCGGTCAAGCCGCTCCATACTGCTTTGTTGATCATGATTTTGCGTAGATGTGTAGACACCTGTGCAAGTGCATACCTGGCGTTCCATGCATTAGATGTATTCTTATCAAACATTATTATTGGTCAATGTGTGAAGGACGAACCACGTGCAAAAGAAAACGTTCTATGACTTATGTAGTTGTGATGGCATAGTTATTTATTGAAGTGCAAACGATAATGCAAAGGATCTTGGCTGAAGCATCCGACTTCTTAGCTCGAAGTGAATACATTTTCTTCACATTGTTAGAGCCATGGTGACAAAGTTATCCGCTGACACCTTTTAACTTATCATAATTTGTCAAAAAGTTAATGATCTCATTTTGATACATTACTTGAGAGATACTACATTTTATGTTGATTGTACACTCGGGGGCAGATTGATGTTCCACCACTCCCTACCTATCGGGCTCCCATGGCTCAGCACTGGCTACTGCCAGTGGCAGCACTGGTAGCACTGGCACTGGCAGGCAGTGCTGACCAGTGCTGAGGGCAGGCAACACTGGCAGTAGCCAGTGCTGAGCCATGGGAGCCCGATAGGTGGGGATTAGTGGAACATCAATCTGCCCCCGAGTGTACATTTGATTCCAAACACGCTGCGATTGTGCATTGTTTATCGCTGTCTTCAATTATTCATTCTAAGCAGCAAAATACTCACCCATTAGCCTTCAGCTGGTCGCCCCTGCCTGAGTCCCCGTCGGCCATGGCTCTGCGTGCTCTCTCCCTCCCCTCTCTCTCCTCTCCCCGATCCTCCCCTTCCTGGCGGCGCCATTATCTGTCCCGCGGCTAATGCAGTTTTCTATTTTCAAATTTTACCGGCGACCCTAGTGCGTGATCCCCAACTTTTGAAATCATTGTTCTTTGAGAGGTGAATAAAGCGCACATGAAAAATGAATTGACACTGACATGCAGGGGAATCGAACTCGCGAGATTGGTCCGGCCTTTTGCGAGTTCAGGCGAAAGGGCGGATAGGAAATTGCCAATTGCAAGCGACCAGCTACGGTTCAGCGGAATATTAAGGCTGACTTCCGGAGGTGACAACAGCCTATTTAAATATGAACTGAATGAGGCTGAGCAAAAGACAAATCATCCGCGAAAGGAAGAATGTGTGACAAAGTGGCAAAATATGCTTGAAGAGAGTTTCAGCAACATATTTGCTTCAAATACTCAGCATTGTGTTTTCGCTGCGGCATATTTGCATGATTATTAAATTACTGAGGCACATAATTAAGGTTGCATCCTAGCGTCACTACAATTGCCAAAGTAACAGACTAATGACAAACCGTATGTCGTTCGGAAGCTCTTACAATAGCGCATCTGTTTGAATTCATGAAATCACATCCGTAGCTACCTTATCGCTCACTCCTTGTCACACCATCCTACAGCACCTTAACTCGTCTGAGCGGCATCCGGAAGACATTGCCAATCACCTCTGGCTGCACTGTGTTCGAGTCCAACTCACCATGTTCGGTTCGATCGATCCTCGGCCGCGATAAAATGATAAAATGATAAATATACCGCGCCCGGTGATAAATGATTTCTCACGGAAAGCTCGGCGATGTATGGACAATTAGAGGGTGAAAACGTCGCTCCCGGGGCTGCCGATAGCTGCGCGCGGGGGCCAGTAAGAACGGGACGGGGTGTCGAAAGGCCGCGAGCGCGCACTGATGGGCCTAACATAGGGGAAAGGCAGTGGGGAGATGGCCGAAAAAATGGAAAACGTGGAGTTTTTATTGTTGTCTTATTTGCTTTATAAATGCATGGATTATCCATGCTTGCGATTTTTTTTTTATTCCACCGAAGAAGAACCAAGTTCGAAAATATATTCTGGACCTTTTTTAATTAATTTATCCGAAAAATGATAATTTTCACATGGCTATCAAATTTTCAAATCAATTAATGATGTTAGAATCAACAAATGGAAGTTAGGCGAAGTTTGATAATTCGCCACCACGATTGAGCTTTTTATCAAGTAAGGAACCTTTTCCAAAAAAAGGCATAACTTCTACCAAACACAAATAATCATGACAAAAGCACGATAGTCGTCTTTGCCTGTTTTGTAGGGTCTCAACGTTTTGTAGGCCAGCCCATGGTCGAATGATGACTTAAGAAAATCGTACATGTTTCACAGTACCTTCTAGCGTACCATTTCAACCATACTCGTACATTTATTGGCGACTGTAGGGAAATTCGATTCTTCATATTAC